GAGAATAGCCAGGATAAGGTGCCAGCTCAAAGGTTAGATGAACATATTTTTTGAAATAATTTTGGCTAATCTATGTCTTGAAAGACATACAGTACTTCTAAATAACTTTACAAAGTTATTAATAAAACTTAACACTAGTTGTGTTTTTGAGTTGCTTTTGGTGGTGGTGGGGAACTATATTCCTTAGAGATGTGTTTCTTCTGTTCATAATTTTATTTCAGTTATTACATTAAACTTTTCCCTTTCAGTTTATAATTCCTTTCTCCTGTTTTATGAATCTAATAAATTGACCTCCATTCTAACCTAAAGGACAGTTTATGTTTTTAATACTTAAAGAAGCAAAAAATAAACATAAAAATTCCACCAAATGAAATTACTAACACCATCCTGTCATTAACCTGAGGGAATTGTATCTCATATTCATTAATTCTCCATGGAAAGAATCAGGTAAGAAATATTTTTATTGTATAAGATATGTAAGATGTTATAATAGCACCTCGTAGTATTCATGCTATTGTTTTGGTGCGTAAAGTGTTTCTTGTTTTAAATATTTTTGGAAGTGAACAGTGTTACCTAACAAATCACCCTTTTGATACTTCTGTGGAAATTTTTGGTGAAATATGCGAAATTCTATTTGATGGAGTTGGGGCCAAGAAGACAATGTACTTTAAACTGATAGATGGAAGATACTATGACATGTCAGAGAAAATGTTTTTAAGGGGAGATTTTAATAAAATCACTTGGGAACAAAATTGATAGTTCTAGAAATAAAAGTTAAGAAATTTCTCTGTTCAGGGACACTTAAAAAACCAAAGCATATGTATCTTATATTTACTATCAGCTATAGTATTAACTAGCAGAGCTATTGCAGAGGTTAAGGAGGTCATGACAAAGAGTATAATGTGGGCTTTGTCACCAACAGATGTGGATTCAGGACCTGTTCCTGTGACTCACCAACTATGACATACTAGATATTTTACTTAAATCTTCTGAGCCACAATTTCCTAGTCTTTAAACCTACTTGGCAAGATTGTTGCTGGCCATAAGGAGAATGCCTATTGCAGAACGGTTCTTGATAAATGTTTGCTATTATTATTGTATGGTCAATATAAAGAATACAAATGAACTTTGAAACAGTGTTTTATTTTTACTAGGGTCCATGGTGGCATCCATGGTATAGCATATTTTAAAATACATTTTGTTTACCATGCCCATCGTTTGGAAAAAACCCATTGGAAGTAGTAGAAGATTTCTCAGATTATTCATTTCTAAAATAAAAACTGTCATTGGATGACCATCTGTGCTTTTGAACCATTCCTTTTCCACTTCTTTAATAACATCCATTTGCAAATGTCAGAGTGAAGTAGGCTTTGGTTACCAAACCCAAGGAAAAGGAACTGGAAGGATCGAGAATTGAATTGTGGAATTACATGTAGAGTTACTTAGTCATTTATTTGACACACATTTGAGAGTTTACTAGAGGCAAGGAGCTAAGTTAGGGGCTGGCAGAGATACAGAGATTAGTAAAACATGGACTCTTGCTTGGGAGGAGCTGATTTGGTAAGATGGTTGTCTCTTATTCGTTCCAGGATTCTAAAGTAGGCAAGAGTTAAGGATAAAGAGTTGAGGCTGTTTAGAGGAAGAATTACTTCCTGCTGGCGAGGATCAAGGAAGATTTCACAGACTCAGTAGTGTTCAGTTGATTCATTCATTCAATAGCTACATACTGAGGGCGATTACCTGTCGGATCCTGTGCCAGCCACTGCAGATACATTAGTAAGATGAAGCTACAGGCATTTATGTCATTCCCTGTCAATGTTGAAGGCCCACAGATGAAGACAATATTGGATGAGAGGTGTGTTTTGAGATAGGATATTGTGAGAGCATGTCTCAGTGGGCAGTATCCCCACCCAAGAGTGATGGACTGGCGGCCTAGCTAAATCCCGAGGGATAAGTAAGTCAAGTAAAGGGCACCCTGGCCAGACAGAAAAATGCACTGAAACCTCAGAAGCCAGAGTGAGAGGCACATTCCAGGAAATGTAAGAACCTCCATTTGGCATTGGGGTATGTGTTTGAAGGATATCTGATGAGAGATGCTGTGGGAGAGGTAGGAATGGGCTGACTCATGGAAGGCCTTTGATGTCATCTTACATAGAGTAGGGTTTATCCCAAAGTTGCAGAGGGACATTGTACAGATTTTAAGCAGGGGAATTACGTAATCAGATTTATGTTTCATAAGTTATAAGCTGGTGCCAGTGGGTCAGATCTAGCATACAGGTGAATTTGATTTTGCTCACAGAGAGTGTTAAGATTTTTCGAAATAGTCGCCAGTGTTTCTGAGGGAAAGTGGGTATCAGGCTTTGTGGATAAATCAGTAGCTCTGCGTTGCTGCACGGAATTGGTGGGCTGGAGTTGCTTAGCGTTGCCCCATTTGGAGAAGCATGTACTCCTTTTTATCGTAGGGCTCACTGCTTCAGGCAGATGCCCAGGATCTGTAGGCATTTGGGGTTCTGGGGCCAGTTTCTGAACATTTTGCTGATTGGCAATTAGGAGAGAGCCTTTTGAGGCTCGGGACTAGAGGCTGTTACAGTAAACCTGGTGAGAAATTGAGTTTTAAGCGGTATTGGTGGGACCAGAGGGAAAAATAGGGATTGAAAGATAGAAAAAGAAAGGATGGGGAAGCATGCTTTAGGACAGTGCTGGGGAGTGCAGGCTTCGTAGACAGACCTGGCTGCTACCAGACCTGTGTTTTTGAGAAACTTAACCTTCCTGAGCAATAGCTTCTTTTTTGGTAAAATATAGATAAGAGCCCTACCTTACGGGGTTTTTATGAGGATCGAATGAGAAAATGCAAAACACTTAGTTCAGTAACTGGCTCCCATTCATTCACATTCAGGAAAATGGTGGCTGGTGGTGGTGAGGATGGTTGTAAGGAAGATGGACTCCAAGATGATGCCTGCGTTTCTGGTGTGTGATTTGGTGAGCTAGAGAACATGGGAGAAAGTGCAGATGAAGACTTCAGTGTTGGATGTGATATGTGTGAAGTGCTTATGAGACTTTGAAGTGAAGAGATGTGATACGTGGTTGGATTCCAGGGCCTGGAGCTCAGGGGCGCGATGTGAGAAGGGCACAGGCTGTGATTTGATGATCTTTCCACCCCTGTCCTACCCAAACCTTCCTTCCCCTCCGTCACCTTCAGTCAACATTAATGATCCTCACAACTACCTCCATAGAGGATCAGCGTTACACAGTATCAGAAGAATGTGGGAGAGGTAAAATACTATATTGCCTGTTGGCTGAAATGTTCTCTGAGAGTTTTCAATTTTTGAAAAACTTTCCTTCCAGTTTACCATTTTGGCCTCCAGCCGAAAGAAATGAGTAATTCAATATTTGTTTATATCAAAGGCTGAAAAACATCATACTCTACAAACATTCTATCTTCTTTCCCCTTTTGGTTGGATTTTTCTGTTTCCCATCACTATCACTCCTAAAAGCAAATTTTCAACTAAAAGTAAATCATTGTTAGGAATGAATGACTGTACTTATGTTTGAAATTTATATTCTTTCTTAGCTGAACATACTGAGAATCAGCCCTGCCTCCAGGCCTGGCTCAGATGCCACCTCTCCCTTTCTTTCTTCCTAATTTTAGCGGCAGGAAGTCTCTTCTTTCTCTACATTTAGTTATTAACACTGGCATGGGGCCTATCTCATCCTGCCCTACATTGTGCTTACTTGTGGATTTATACCATTTGTTCTGCTAGGCTGTTAGTTCCATGAAGCTGGGGACTGTGTCTTATACATCTTTAGCTTCTGCAGTGCCTAGTCTAGCTCAGTCAGTACTTTGAAGGTATAAGGGACCAGGCACTTCTGTACAAAAGGCCTAAAAAGTGTGAACATGATGTAATCTTAATAAGCAGATTGTAGTTTTAGGAAAGACTGTTTACTGAGAAAATAAATATATTTAATTTGTCTGCCTATCTTACGACCTTATTACATATTAGAGATCTTAACACTTTTTTTTTTTTGCGGTATGCGGGCCTCTCACTGTTGTGGCCTCTCCCGTCGCGGAGCACAGGCTGCGGACGCGCAGGCTCAGCGGCCATGGCTCACGGGCCCAGCCGCTCCGCGGCATGTGGGATCCTCCCGGACCGGGGCACGAACCCGTGTCCCCTGCATCGGCAGACGGACTCTCAACCATTGCGCCACCAGGGAAGCCCTAGAGATCTTAACTCTTGATGAAGCTTCTTAAAAGAAATCTATTTACATGCTTGAAAACACATAAAGTGTAATCTGATTGTGTCATCTACTGCTTATAATCCATTATTGTTTGCCATTATGGATAGAATACTGATTCCCTGAGTACGAGAGTCTTCAGGCTGATGATTGCCTTATTTTAAAAAGGACTGTTTTTTGCAATGTGGACCCAATCCCAGTGGACTGCTCTCTCATTGCCAGACCCTCTGCTGCTTCATGCCTCTCTGGCTTTGCTTATGCTGCTTGTTCTGAATAAGGCCCTTCACCCAGCCACATGGTGAATTCCTACTCACCCTTTAAGATTCAGTTCACATTTCTTCCTACCGCCTTTCCTGACATTTTTCCTACTCCCTCCTGTCTGCAGAGAAATTCTTCTTCTATATTCTTTTAACACCTTGTACACCTGTCATGTCTGTCTTTGTCAGGAGACTGTATGAGATTTCAGAGCAGGTACTGTGTATTTAAAGAGCTCAAAGCTAGTGGGGGAGCAGGATAAGAAGAATAACTGTGATAATAAAGCATGATATATGTGTATATATAAATATATGTGTATAAAATTTATGGCAGGGGTATGCATAGAGGTTTAGGAAAGCACTGAGGAGGGCTCCAAACTCAGGAGGGGCAAAAGCAAATACTGTTTAAGCTGGGTATTGAAGTCTGTCTAGATGTTAGTCCATCAGACAAGGGGAAGAATGACATTCCATGTAAAAGCATGCAAGTATTAGAGTATGTTACTTCCTGAGAACTGCCATCAGTTGGTCTGTTTGTGGATATGATTGGAGATGAGGCTGGTGGGACAGACAGGAGTCAAATTATGAAATGTGGGGTTGAATGCCATACTGAGAGTTTGAACCGGTATAAGTGTAACGATAAGTAAACATAGTGAGGACTCAGTGAGTATAAGGGGGAGAGTGACATGGTGAAACCCCCGGTTTTTTTTTTTTTTAGATGTTGGGGGTAGGAGTTTATTTATTTATTTATTTATTTTTGCTGTGTTGGGTCTGCGTTTCTGTGCGAGGGCTTTCTCTAGTTGTAGCAAGCGGGGGCCACTCTTCATCGTGGTGCGTGGGCCTCTCACTATTGTGGCCTCTCCCTTTGTGGAGCACAGGCTCCAGACGCGCAGGCTTAGTAGTTGTGGCTCACGGGCCTATCCGCTCCGTGGCACGCGGGACCCTCCCAGACCAGGGCTCGAACCCGTGTCCCCTGCACTAGCAGGCAGACTCCCAACCACTGCGCCACCAGGGAAGCCCCACCCCCAGTTCTTAATACAGTTTCTTAGACACTGTAGCTATTCCTCTTTGTCATTCTTATAATTCTCATTATAGATAACATTTTATTGAGCTCTTACTATGAGATGGGTACTGTTCTAAGTACTTTCTTTGGATTTTCTCATTTAATCATCCCAGTAAACCTATGGGTAAATTCTATATGCACCATGTTGCTTTACTATTTTGTAAGTAAAAAATGGCAGTGCTGACAACTTCCCCTGGTTCAACCTATGATCTTCATTTTAGATCAGAGAGAAGCTGGGTAATCTGCATGGGTCACTCATTTCCCAAGTGGTAGAGCTGGGACCCAGCAGTCTAACTCCAGCACGTGTGCCTTACCCTCTTCTCTAGAGTACACTAAGTGAGCAACAGCTCACATGTTAAGAAATATTTGTCAAAGTATACATATTATCTACTCATGTTTATAATTTTTTTCCCATTTTTATGTTTGAAAATTTCAAATCCACAGAGGAATTGAAAGTATAGCAACAGTAAATAGCCATATACTCTTCATGTACAGTTGTTAACATATTACATATTTGCATGTATGCACACTCTCTCTCTCTCTCTCTCTCTCTATATATATATATATATATATATACACACACACACACACATATACATACTCACACATATACACATATTAGTGAGCCATTGGAAAGTAACTTACGACATAATGGCTCTTTGTACCTATATCCTTCAGCATGCATACCATTGTCACACTTAAGACATTTAGCATAGGTACAATAATATTATGTAACAAACAGTCCATAATTAGATTTCCCAGATTATCTCCAGATGATTTTTATGGTTTTTTTCTGAGCCAGGTCCAATCAAGGATTATATATTTCATTTAGTTGACATTCCTCTTTGGTCTTCTTTAATTTAGAAGAGTTCTAGATCTACTACTTTTTCCTTCTTGACAATAACATTTTTGAAGAGTCCAGGTCAACTGCTTGGTAGAATATTGCACAATCTAAATTTGTCTAAGGTTTCCTCATTATTAGATACTAGTTAAACCTTTTTTGCAAGAATATTACTAGGTGATCATATATTATAACATTCCCATTGCACATAATGTCAGTTTGTTCTATTACTGGTGGTGCTAAGTTTGATCACTAGATTAAGGTTCTGACTACCAGATTTTTCCACTGAAAGGCACCTTCTTCTCTTTGTAATTAGTAAGTAATTTATGGGGTGATACATTGAAACTGTTTGAATATCCTGTTCCCCAACAAACTTTTGGATAATTTTTGCTCAAATTATTTGATGGTGGTTATAAAGTTGTTTTTTTCAGATTCTGTCATTCCTTCTGCGTGTTCACTGGCATTCTGTAAAGAGGAGCTCTGTTCTCTTCTTTTTTAGAATCACTTTGGACCCGTGGATTCTTTTATTATTCAATTGTTATCAATTACTATTCTTACTCTTCTTGGTGCTCAAATTATCCCAAATTTGGCCAATGGGAACACTTCCAAGCAGCTCCTGTGTCCTTTTCATTTGTTTCCCTCATTCTTTCAATATGTCCTTGCTTTTTGTCACAGCAAAACATTTCAGCCTCTCTGCCCCAGCCCTGATTCCTTTTATTGTGGGACGGTATTTAGAAACAAAGATCTGGAGACTTCCCTAGTGGTCCAGTGGTTGAGACTTCGCCTTCCAATGTGGGGGTCTGTGTTCGATCCCTGGTCGGGGAGCTGGGATCCCACATGCCTTGCTGCCAAAAAACCAAAACATAAAGAACAGAGCCAATATTGTAACAAATTCAATGAAGACTTTAAAAATGGTCCAGGTCAAAAAAAAAATCTTGACAAAAAAAAGAAACAAAGATCTGGGTGTTATGTGTGCTCATTGCTACTGTTACCCTACTTAAAAAAACAAAAACAAAAATCTACTTCACACTTCCTGATAAGTAATAACACTTTCTGATGTGTTCTTAAAGTCTCATTTGGCATTAATCTAAATTCCACTCTTGTACCACAATGAAAACAGAAAGAAAAGTTAAAATTTCAAGTAAACCAAAAATGACAATACTTTTCAGAAGATAATTCTTAAGTGGAAATGGATACTGTTTAATTATGGTGAATAAAAGTTAGCTTGAGATTCAAAGATGCAGATGCAGATGCAGGCACTTATTTTCTTTGGTCTACTTCAGGAATTAAAAGTTAAATAGAGATTAAATAGGTACTTGAGAAATTTGAATTGGATTTTCCCAAAGACAAAAATAAAATAAGGTAGCCAGACAGCTCTTGGGATATAACATTATATAGAGCAGAAATCCTTATTTATTTTAACATCATACTCTAAATTATTAATCAATTGGTTGACTCAATATTTGACTGTAGTTTATGATTAGTTTAAATTCTTAATAAAAATAATGTTACTTAAAATATGAGAACAAAAATAATCATAGTTGTAGTAATATATCAGAAGAGATAACAATTCTGTACTTCATTAATGATTCAAAATCTGGGTTCTGCACAAAACAAGCAGTAGAGCAAAGAGATTATTTTATGTTGAAACATTCTGGCAGGGTTACTTTAATTTTCTTAACTTACAGATTGTATTCTTAACTGCAACTTTTCCTTCCTAGAAATGTAAACTAAATACCTTTATGCCTTTAATTACCTTTGATATTCTCTATCCCTCTCATCCTTTCCTGTTTAATATTACTATGATCTCACTCTCTTCCAAATCCACTCAAAAAGCTGGGTTTCTGGCCTTTTTCTGACTACCAGAAGTATTAGCAGATTCTCCATGGAACTGGGATAAGAAATTTTTACTGAAATCGGGCAAGTCACTTAACTTTCTGTGCTTTTGCTTGTCTGCTGGTAAAATGAGGATAATGTCTGTCTCTCTCCTGCCTTATATGGATACTGTGAGGGTAAATTTAATTAGTCATGTAAAGTGGTTTTGCGTTCTGTATTCATGAGATCATTTAACAGATAGTATTTTATAGTGGTAACAATCAGAGGCCCTTTTATTTCAGTTTTTACTACAGAGGGAATTTAGATTTGAAAATAGGATATTCAACACTAGAATACAGGATATTAGGAAGGCTGGAGGGTTGTTTTCCTCTGGAGATCTTGGAATCTGTAGGATTCTTCCCTCTGGATTTGTTATACCTGTGATATAGGGAAGCTCGAGGTCCTTTCCAGTGGAGCCCTATAAAAATTCTGCCTCCATTCCTTCCAGGTCCCGTTAATGTAGCAATATAGCAATGACTTGTTTAATGCCTCTTTCAGCTACTCTTTCTCTCCCAAGGCCAACTTGCATACTTTATGTCACCTGTTTCTAAGTTACAGACTCTGGAGGACAAGGTTCTTTTTTCTGCTTTTAGTGTTCTATGTCTGAATAGCAACATGATGTAGATTGCAAAAATTACAAATGATTCTTAGGATTCGAAAGACAATCTTATTTACATTAAGAAAATCATTTTTGGGCTTCCCTGGTAGCGCAGTGGTTAAGAATCCGCCTGCCAATGCAGAGGACACGGGTTCGAGCCCTGGTCCGGGAAGATCTCACACGCCGCAGAGCAACTAAGCCCATGAGCCACAACTACTGAGCCTGAGCTCTAGAGCCCATGAGCCACAGTTACTGAGCCCGTGTGCCACAACTACTGAAGCCCGCGCGCCTAGAGCCCACGCACTGCAACGAAGAGTAGCCTCTGCTTACCACAGCTAGAGAAAGCCCACAAGCCCAACACAACCAAAAATAAAAATAAATTAAAAAAGAAAGAAAAAAAATCATTTTCAAGTTACAACAACACCTGAGGTTGAGTTGGCTTTTCCCTTGTCACTTTCCAGAGCCACCACCTGCTTGGGCAACTCAACATGTCCTTATTTTTTTTACAAATGTTGGCACTTGACTCCCAAGTGTGATTAGATTACCTAAGAAATATTATATAGAACTGATGTGGGAGTTTAATTTTCCCCCAACTTATTTGATAACATTGTCCAACTCAGTGTCAGAAAACATTGTCCAACTCTCAGAACCCCAGTTACATCAGTTAGGATGAATTTTTAAGAGTAAAGTCTTAGATTGCAGTCAAACAGAAGAGGCTTGGAACATGTGACATTAAAGAGCTCTGTTTGCTTTGCCAGTTGAGACATGTTTCTTTTTCTAGTTAAAGTAATGACTTAGGGGTTATTTTAAGGGCACTTTGGAGATCGTGTTACAGGAATGTTAGAGAGTGAATTTTGAGTGTGATTTGCCCATTTGACCTTAATTCCAGCATCTGATTTTGGGGGAAAAAGAATCTGTCATTAATTGACTACCTGTGATCCTCACCTGAATTTTATTTCTTGAGCTGCCAAAGCATATGTGGATGCTAGTGGCCAGTGGACCAAATGTGGCCCAACTTCTTGTCACTGATCCATGTGGAGGTCAGAGAAACAATGCTGACTTTTGTGATTAAACTATAGCGACAACAGACACATTCTTTCCTACAAATCAGTGTCTCATCTATTTTTGATGTTTTGAGAAGATCATTCT